ACTAAAGACCTACACTGAATACAGCAAAGCTGCTAAAAAACAAAGAATTAGCAGCTCTTTACAACCCAATCTGAAAAGTCTACCAAGGCATACCTTGGAGTGAGAACTCATAGGGAGAGCGTGTATATGTTCACACAATCCAGGGACAGGAATGGGCTTCAGGAGACTGGACAGGGGCACATTTTCAATATGTACTCCCCAGTAAATTTTGAATTTTATGCTATCTGAATGCCTTTCTCTATTTATAAGAAACAGAAAAAAAATTCAAAATATTCAGCACTCATTCTGATAAGGAGTCCTCCTTCTTGAATGCTGCTCTTGGTGTAAGCACAGGTCTGGCTGGGAGCCAGAGGGAGGATGCTCTATTCTGTGTTCAAGGGGCACTCACCATGGGCCCCGGAGATACGGACACCCCACAAATTGAAGTTTATTGTGGTTTGCAGATGAATGAATGAAGTCATAAATTTAAGATATCCAGAAGGTAGCTTAAAATCTGTTAGGGGAATGATGTTTTTTCTGGTTATTTTTGAAGATTTATTTATTGGGGCTGGCACTGTGGTATAGTAGCTTAAGCATCTACCAACAGGGCAGGCATCCAATATGGCTGCCAATTCGAGTATCAGCTGCTCTACTTCTGATCCAGCTCCTTGCGCTAACGTGCCTGGCAAAGCAGCAGAAGATGGCCCAAGTCCTTGGTTCCTGGCACCCACATGCAAGACAGGAGCTCCTCCTGGCTTTGGACCTGTTCAACTCTGGCCATTCGCGGAGTAAACCAACAGATGAAAGACCTTTCTGTCTTTTCCTTCTCTTTCTGTAAATCTGCCTTTCAAGTAAGATTTATTCATCTGATAAAAAGACTTAATGGATAAAAACAGTGGATTAAAAAGAATAAATCTTCCATAGGCTGGTTCAATCCCCAAATGCCAGCAACAGCCAAGACTGAGCCAGGCTGAAGTTAGAAGCCTGGAACTCCATCCTGGTTTTCCACAGGGTTTCAGGGACCTAAGTACCCGTATCAGCAGGAAAATGGATCAGAAGCAGAGGATCCTGGACTGAAACCAGCACTCAGGGGAGGTAGATGTTGCAAGCAGTGGCTTAACCTGCCAAACCACAATGCCTGCCCCAGGATGAATTAAGACACGAAAAACTGGTGTTGGGTCCAATGGCTCTTTGGGATTGGAAAGAATGGAGTCAGATCCTTGTTTCATACCTAGAAAAAAATGCACTACAGATAAGGCCAAGATGTAATAGGTATATGGTGTGTGAGTACCGAAAGAAAAGAGCACACTATTTTTGAGGTTTTAGAGTCGAGAAGAATTTCCTTTCTATTCAAGACAGATTCAATTAGACAGAAATCTCAGTCAACCCTCTGTACTCTCATGCATCTTTGTCCCAAATCTAAGCTTTCAAGTTTGCAGAAAATGGTTTTGGAAATATCCACTTCAGGGGCAGAAACTAGATACAGTGGCTAAGATGGCTTTGGGGACACCTGAGGCCAGCACTAGGTGTTTGGGGTTGGGTCTGTGTTGCTATGCATCTGGTTTGGGTCCCAGTTCCTACGTTTCCTGTCCAGTATCTTACTAATGTACACTCTTAAAGAGCAGGCGGTGATTCCAGTGCTAGAGTGCCTGTTGCCCAGGTGGGAGACAGGGATTAAGGTCCAGGATCCTGGTTTCAGCTCTAGGCTTCAGCTCTAGTGGCTGTAGACATTTAGAGAATAAACCAGCACATGGAAGATTTCTCTCTGTCTTTATAACTCTCTTTTTATATCTTTACCTTCAAGCACAATGAAAATAAAGGAAAAAATTTTAATTCAGCTCACTGAAAGATACAAAGACTTGAAAAGAACAATTTATAATCTAGGAGACACCTGTTTGTAGCATATACTTATATATTAAAGCAACATGTAAATAAATAACAGCAAATGAGAAACTACTTATATAAAAAATGGATAAGGAATAGCAACGGATAATTTACAGCAAAGAAACACAAAACACAAAACCCAGAAACAGAAAGATGCTCAGCTTCACTGGCAAATAAAAGAATGAAAATCAGGATGACTTGTCCCACCCAGCAGGTTGACTAATCTTAAACAAACAAACAAACAGAAAACCCAAAAGAATATGCTGAACTAATTATAATTAGAGTATAGAGAAATAGGAAATTTTACAACTACTGCGTAGTATTAAGTGGCCTAGTTAATTTTTTAGAGGCTGAAGTTTAAATGTACATAGTTTTATCTAAAGATTTATTTATTTTTATTGCAAAGTCAGATATATAAAGGAGGAGGAGAGACAGAGAGGAAGATCTCTGTCCGATGATTCACTCCCCAAGTGACCGTAACGGCTGGAGCTGCACCTATCCAAAACCAGGAGCCAGGCGCTCTTTTGGGTCTCCCATGTGGGTGCAGGGTCCCAAGGCTTTGGGCCATCCTTGACTGTTTTTCCAGGCCACAAGCAGGGAGCTGGATGGGAAGTGGGGCTGCTGGGATTAGAACTGGCACCCATACGGGATCCTGGCATGTTCAAGGCAAGGACTTTGGCTGCTAGGCCACTGTGCCAGACCCTAAATGTACATACTTTAGGATTACAATTCAACTTCAAGGAGTTTATCCTATAGAAACACTGCACTGGGCCCGGCACCATATCTTAGTGGCTAAAGTCCTTGCCTTGCACGCACTGGGATCTCATATGGGCACCAGTTCTAATCCTGGCAGTGCCACTTCCCATTCAGCTCCCTGCTTGTGATCTAGGAAAGCAGTGGATGACAGCCCAAAGGCTTGGGACCCTGCACCCACATGGGAGACCTGGAAGAAGCTCCTGACTCCTGGCTTCAGATTGGCTCAGCTCTGGCTGTTGTGGCCACTTGGGGAGTGAATCAATGGATGGAAGATCTTCCTCTCTGAATATTTGACTTTCTAATAAAAATAAAAATAAATAAATTCTGAAAAAAAACCCACTGCATTAATGTCCAAGGTGGATATACATCAAAAGACACTACATGAATGTCAGGTATGTAACCTAGCATTTCACCTGAGAATCCCACCCCCTATCTCCCAACCCTGCCCACTCATCAATCATCCCTAGGCATTTACCTGCAGACACCAATTCCCTGGGGCCTGCCCTCAAACCCTCCCAATCCTGCTTGCTCTCCCCATACCTTGCGGGTTTACCTGAACATAAGGGACCCCAAGTGCCTCCATCTTCCTTTTTTCCCTGCTGATCTCCCACCACCTCCATCCCATTTCTGCCCTGCTGGAATAAATCTCCTAAGATACCTCATTGCATCTGGTGTTTTTGGCTTACAGTAAAGAACCAGGCTGTGAAATTAGCTGTGCATAATAATATCATAAGAACCAGAACTTTAACTTTTAAATAACTAACAAATACATGGGCAAACAGACTCTAAGGTGGACTATGTCAGCCAGTAGAGTCTGAAGAGATTTCATTGTGATTGGAGTGGCAAGATGGGCAGCAATACAGAACTGTTGAACAATCAAAACCACTTGAGCAGGACCCTGGGAGCATGCCCCACATCAGGGACCTTGGGATGGTTGAGAGGCTGGGTGTGGCTTCTCCCCTTATCTCTCCCCTCACCCCAGATACAGGAATGAAAAGAACATGTCAAAACAATGGTCTCACTCACTTTCTTCTAGCCCTTGAGCCTTTGCACCCAAATCAAATATGTAAAAATTATAAAAAATAAAATTTATATAATTAAAGAATAAATAATTAAAATAAAAATTTTAAAAAGAAGACAAAAAAGATTTAAAGCTAAAAGGCTGAATGGACAGGATTGAGGATGAAAGGTGAAAAGAGGCGGGCATAGAAGACTGCAGGTTCTGGCTTGGGCAATGGAACGGGTGAGCTGTTTGGGGAGGGCAGGGAGCTGGGATAGAGTCAGCCTCTGCAGGTGCCACAGGAAGCAGCCCAGGCATCTGGGCTAAAAGGAGTTGGAGGCCTGTGATGTATCTATAGGCCTTGGACGGAACTTCCAAAAGCCACATTCTTTGAATCCAGAGGAAAAACTTTCTTTGGGGACTGTGGAGAGGTTACCTCTGTTTCAACCAAATTCTCAGCAAAAGGGACGGGCACCCTCCTTTAACACTGCAGGAGAGCTCAGCATGACTGTACTTGAATCGCTCTGTTGCTGAGCATTTCCAGAGCTGGGCCCTGGGGTGTCAAGTGGGATTACTCTAAGCTTGCTGCCAGGAGCCACGCCTTTGGCATGGGCCCAACACAGGGGAACAGCTGAAGGTCTGAGTGAGACAGGGATCTTTCTAGGTGAGAGGAACTACAAAGGGATGGGCCCAGAGAGCAGAGGTGATGTGGACTGGTCTGCTCTCAGGAATTACTCTCTCTCTCTCTCTCTCTCTCTCTCACACACACACACACACACACACACACACACACGCTGGTAGGAGAAAGAAGATGGGGCCAGTTTCTGGTCAATGGGCCTTTTCTCTGGTTGGGTTGAGTTTGTGTTTGCCTTGCCCATCATTTGAAAAGCATTTACAAAGTGCCAATAGCATGCCAGGCACTACTCTAGGTCTAGTGTGATAGGGCAGTGACCCCTGACAAGGGACCTGCTTTGGTGGTGGTGACTTAGAGCAGGGAAGCAGCTGCCACCAGAGGAAGAAATAGCAAGACAATTTTTGGCTTAATGTTGTGTAGAAAATAATAAACTGAGGACGTGGTGGGGGGCAGTAGGAGGTGGACCAGCTGAGCTTTGAGAAGAAAGCCACAGTCAAAGCTAGAGGAATGGGGGAAGCCAAAGAATGGAGGGTGGGACACTGCAGGCAGAAGTTAATTGCACAAGGCAATTGTTTGGCTAATAAGAACATGTTAGGAAAATTAGGCGTTTTTTTAATTTGTAAAAGAACTCATTAGTGAGTTATATTTTTAGTTCTTCCTCCTGGGGTTTGGAAATCCAGTGAGTGGGAGGTTTTTTCGGGGGCTGGGCCTGAGAGTTAGAGAGAGACGGCTCAAGGAAACACCCACCTGCTCCGAGAGGTCACGTCCAGGAAGAGCTGTACTAGTGCCAGCAGGTTGTGGTGGTGGTCGGACACCCAGCTCAGGGAGGAGCACAGCTGCTGCAGCTACACAGAACAGAGAGTGCTGCTGCACACATCCACCTGCCCCATAGCCTGCCCAGGGGACGGAGGGTAGCTGGTCCCGGAGGAGGCTGTGGACACTCCAGGTGCTCTGGGGGCACTTTGTATCTTAGGGGAAGGGCTGTGTCATACCTTCCCTGGCCAGTCTTGGATGTTCTCCAGGAGCAGGAGCAGGAGCTGCTGGAGGTCAGTCTTCGGCTGCAGGCAGAGCCTCATGTCCAAGCCAGCACGGCACAGGAGCTCGATCAGGCCTAGGAGGCTCCCATCTGTGTAGGCTCCTGGCTTAGCAAGGGCACACAGTGTGACGAACTGGGGAGAAGAAGCAGAAGTGAGTTGTCTGTGACCCTGTAGAGAGAGGGAAGGCAGTGTGTGGGGGTTTGGCTCTGTAAACCCCTTTGACTGCTGGGTGCGAGCCAAGAGCATGAGCAGTAAGGCCAGGGTTTGAGGCTCCTTGCAGTCTGAACATGGCGGGCACTGTGTGGTGAGTTCAGCAGCAAGTACTAGGCCTGTGACGGCACTGAGCCTGCCTGGATCCAACTGCTGAGTATGTCTGCACTGTGCACCCAGAATGCTCTGAGGACAACCAAGTCCCTACTTACCTTATGGATATAGCTCAGGCTTATGTCCCAGGTTGCCTCCTGAGGGGGGTCCACCTGCCAGCTCAAGTTGGCCTCACTTTCAGGAACCCTAAGGTTAAGACAAGAGCAAGAAACAAAAGGAATGGTGAACAAGTAAGAGGAAGTGGGCAAGGGAGGAGAATGAATGTAGAGAGGGAAGCCTTCGCTTGCTCAGGATAGGAACTCACGGTGTCTGTTCAGATGAGGACCCCTCCTGCGTGTTGGTCATCTGCTTAGGACTAGCAAAATACCCCAAAATGCAATGGCTTAAAAACAATGCTATTGTCTCCTAAAGCTATCAGGCTCAAGCATCCAGAGGCAGGAGCCTGTTTTGTGGCAAGTGGGTTTAGCCATCATCTGCAACATTAGCATTCTGTATCAGAGTGCTAGCTCAAGTCCTGGCCACTCTGCTTCTAATCCAATGTCCTGTTAATGTGCCTGGGGAACCTGCAGAAGGTGGCCCAAGCTCTTAGGCCTCTGTCACCCACATGGGAGACTGGGATAGATTTCTTGTGTGATCCTAGTTGATGCAGTTATTTGGAAAGTGATTCAGCAGATGAAAGAGCTTTCTCTCCTCTTGCCCCTTGCCTCTCTGTCATTCTGCCTTTCAAATAAATAAATCTTAAAACACAAAATAAAACAAAAATTCTAGAGGCAGCTTAGCCAGGCTGTTCTAGATCAGAGTTTCCTGGAAATTTTCCTGGAAACACTGGACAGGATCATGATCACCTTGGGTTTGGCTGGGCTGGGAGACCTACCTCTGAATTCAATCATGTGGGCACTGGGTTCCTCAGCACATGGGCTTCTCCAAACGGCTCTTAGATATGGATGGCAACTGGCTTCCTCAAGCTAGAGAACTAAGACCAGGCAGGGAGAGAGACTAAAGCACAGCATCAGCCTGTCATGGCCTCATCTTAGGTGTGACGGCTCATCACTTTTGCTGATTTCTACTGGTCACACAGACCACCCTATGGGAGAGGGTTATGTAAGGGTGTGGCCCCAGTACGTAAGAATTAATGGGGAGGTCGGAGAATGGCTCCCACATGCTGCCATATAGGTGAGGTCCCCAGCTTCAGTCTTGTAGGATTTGGAAAGTAGAGAATCACATCTCCAACCCTCTAAAGTATTCTGTGTGGATGATGGTGATGTCACTGTGTATGTGGGGTGAGTTCTAAAGCCAGTCAATAAGGCAAAAATCAGCAGCTGAACAATCCTTGAAATGCCCTCCAGGGGTGTGCAAACTGCAGGTAATGTGTGGAAAAGCCCAGCAAGCCAAATTTCCCAAGTGATGGATTAAGCCTGGTGAGGCACCAGGTGAGGTAAGAGCCTAGGAATATGTACGAAAATCTCTTGAAGGATCTCAGTTACACTAGGGCGGTGAGATGCACATGGTGAGCAGACAGAATGAGTGGAAGGTAGTCATACCTCTCTGGCTATGAGTTTCTGGCACATACTTACTGGACAGAAGGCTGAGCTCTATTAACCTCACTGAATGGTTCTTCTCTCTGGACAAATGCACACTGCTGACTTTAATTAAGTTGAGTGGGTTCATGGCAAGGCTCTCCTTCACTGTCTCATCTGTTTCTCTACTTTTATGAACGAGAACTCTTGCTAACAGTGACCCTCAAGAAATGAAAACACTGATGATGGCCACCACATTGTTGACAATATCTGGCTCGGGTGCAGCCACTAGGCCATGGTCACTGGAGGAATAATTCCTGCTGCTCCAGGGAAAGGGTTCTGCTCTTCTGAAGAGCACTTCCTGGCACTTGTGCAGTTTTTCCAAGGGGAAGCAGAGAGTTGTCTGCTGGGTGCCCAGGAAGCTGGTGCTAACAAACCAAACATGGTAGCAAGACAAAGGAAGACGAGGAGGCTGGGGCTGGCTCAGCCCTTCTTCCAGATTTTTCTGTCATTTATTAGGCCAGAGAACGGGTGAGGCTGGCCCCTGCACATCTGGGGGAGGCCTGGTTCGTACCAGCCTGTGAGCATGCACTGGCTAGGCCAGCCTGGGTGGGCATATTTTTGGATTTCCCCAAGGGTGGAGCTACCACAGAATTGACTTTGTGCATCTGCTCAAGAGAGATGGGCTTCCAGACAGTTCAGTGCTGCCAAACAGAGGAGGAATGCAGAAAGTGTGAGCTGGTGATGCTTCTCCTCTAGGTTGGGGAGGGGAAGTGTATCTGCCAGGAGAGCCAACTTTCCTGGGCAGAGTGATAGTGGCTGCCCAAAGTGAGATGCTGAAACTCCCTGACCTGTTTCTCCTCAGGGATAGCAGATAAATAGGCCACATAATGGGGATCGGCTATTCCTTGCCCATTTGAGCAACCATGCAATGGAGCTGTTGGTGTCTGGGACTACTATTCTGAGATATGGCATCAGATAATCCCTGAGATTCCACTACTCACTCCCAGAGTGATGTTCTGGAGCACAGGAATTTGCAGCCTGTAAATCCCTGCTCCCCTCTTGGATTCAGACTGAGTCCCCTGCCCTGCCCCCATTCCAACTTCTTGGGTCAAGATTCCCAATCTTCAGTCAGCATCCAGAAGCTCAGTGGGAGGTGGGGGTTACTCATTACAGTCACTCTTTTTAGGAGGAGGACATCACTGACCTGTACCTAGGTTTCTGTATTTGTTTTCTTCAAGAGCTGAACAAAAGGATAAGGTCCTTAACCATAAAGTGCTCCCACGTTCTGATAAGGAACACAGCTACCACATGACCAAGAGCCCTCTGCAGGCACCCAGGGGCTGAGCACCCAGCCATGTGAGCACTAAAGAGGGTCCTCTCCTTGGGCCTGCAACCAAACTACATCTGGTGTTTCAGCAAGGTCAATGAAGAGAATTAATGCTAGATCAATGGAAAGGGAGAGAGAAGCAAATTATACCTAGTTCCAGTTATACCATCCCAGGACAGCCACTTACTGTTACTCTGTATACTTTGCTGGATGCTTTTCCCTTGTTTTGTTTTTAAAGATGTGTTTATTTATTTGAAAGGCAGAGTTACATTCAGAAAAACACAGATCTTCCATCTGCTGGTTCACTCCCCACATGGCTGCAAAGGCCAGAAGCTTCCTTTGGGTCTCTCACATGAGTGGCATGGGCCCAAACACTTGGACTGTCATCTGCTGCTTTTCCCAGGCCATTAACAGGAATGCTGGAACTTTTAAAGTGAAGCAGCCAGGACGTGAACCAGCACCTATATTGGGATGGTAGCCTGCCTGGTGTTCTTCCAATGTATTAATTATTATTCATTTACCTGTTTGGTCTCAGTATAGAACTGCTCTTTCATTCTCTTTCTCCCCAACCCCACTCTGTTCTTTCATTTGAAAGGCAGGTTAGAGAGAGTGAGGCAGAGAAAAAGAAACAGATCTTCCAGCTACTGCTGGTTCATTCTTCAAATGGCCATAACCCCCAGAATCCCGAAACTTCATCTGGATCTCACACTTGGAGGGCAGAGGCCCAGGCACTTGGTCCATTAACAGGCAGCTGGATTGGAAGTACAGCAGTATTCATATGGGATCAGATATTACCCCAGGGGCTGCTCTTTCTGAGAACTACGCAGACAAGGCACCCAGTCCCAGGTGACACAGTACCAAGCTGCTGTCTTTAATAGCTGGGCCTGAATTTCCGAGCAGGGATCTTCACCTGGACTTGGTGATCAAGCAGCAGTCACGGCTACCAAGACCGCTCTTTGTGCTCCTGAGACTGGATCATCTGACCATGCCTGTTCTGTAGAGTACAGTAAGCACCTTCACCAAGGGTACTGATGCGCTCACTCCTGCTTTCCATTCAAGTTCACGCCCTGGCCCCTTCTCCCTTACCGTTTCATGCCCCCAGCCTTATCACTGAGCAAACAGCCTCTAGATTTTCAATTTGGTGTACACTGAATGGTTTCCATGGTCCAACTACAGAAGAATGGTGTCTCTGGGAAGTCTTGAAGCATCTTTCAAGCGAGAGATAGTGATGTATTTAAAGAAAACCTGAGATTAGGAATAAAGGGTGAAAGCAGGGTCTCTCTCATAAGAGGAGAAACAGACAGCTGGTAGGGCTGTGTACAGGGGCTCTTCAACCCCGAGTTCTTAGTCTTGGCCATTGTGAGACTCTGTGTTGCCCCTCCTTTTTGCCAAATGAGTCCTAGAATAAGACTTCTCAGAAAGTTAACAGAAAAAGAGATCTGCCTGCTGTGGAACCTACTGGCCCAAGCCAAGCCTGCAAGTGTGGCTAAGAACAAGGAGGACGATCATGGGCTTGCTCTGATGTTTCTTTTTTTGGCTCACACAGCTCCAGAATGCATATCCTGCCCCCAGTAGGGGTGGTGCCACAACCTTCTTGCTGTTTCCTGAATCCTCAGGACAAGACACCCAGAGTTCCCTAAGTGCAGCAGCAGCCAGTGGGCAGCCCAGAGAATGCCTGCGGGCACCTCTGCCATCACCTCCCCAGGAAGGACCAGCCTCTTCTTGCAGAACAAGCAGGGGAACTGTCCTTGCAGCCTTCAGCTAGATTTTCTGCTGAACACAGAGAGGGCTGCAAGGAGAGGAGGCAGGAGTTCAAAGCAGCACATCTGGAAATGCAGCCAGGTGACTCCAGCAGCTTGCCATGCCCTGCCCTGAGATGGCACAGCTCTGCTCCTCCCACACAGGGTTTAACTGCGCCCGGCAAAGCTGTAGTCTGCATTCTGGGCTTTGTGTGCCAAAGCACTTGAGATGAACTGGTTAAAGGGCCTACTGCTCTCTGTTGCCTCTAGAGACCGCACAGTCCCTGCTTGAAGGGTAGGAAACAGTCACATCTTGGAGTGGACTGGGAAGAGAGAGAGAACATGGCTTTTGCAGAGTGTAGCCTGGGTGGTAACCAGTCCCTGGTGCCTCCTCCCTCTTCTCAGGTGGACATAAGTGCTTGACTGATCAGTCAGAAGTGGTACTTCTGAACCCAATTCCTCCTTTAATTGCCAGCCCTCATCCTTGTCCCCTTCTCTTTTCTTTCAATATGCACTTGTTTTTCTTCTTCTCCTAGTCATCAGAGATGGAGGTGTGGCTGAAGCCCAGGGCAAGGCTGAGGCAAGCAGCCTATTGCAGCAGGTTGGAGCCCGAGCTGCAAGAGGGACAGGGGCAGGAGGTGGCAGGCTGGCACATGCATGGGGTATTTATAGCAGAGCCAGCGCAGTTTGGTTTGGCAGACAATTACTACACACAGTCGTGGAACAGGTTCTTAGGGAATCACTGGGCTCCCCCGGTCTAGGAACATTTGCCCACCAAGCAGCCAGGGTAGGAAAAGATGTTTGGAAGCAGGGCAGTGGTCTCTAAACCTTTAGTTATATCTTTAACCAAATTCAAGAAAAAGTTTAAATGTGCTGTAATTTTAGAATAAGAGGAAGCTAGTTCATACTTCCATGACCCAGAACTAGTCACTGTGCACCAACAACAACAGCGACTTACATACAAGTACTGTATGGTCCTGTCCCTCATGGGCAGGGGCAACACATACATGAATTACACCAATGTCCTCCATCACTGCCGAACCCAGCCCAGGGCACATCAGAAGTACTCACCAAATACAACTGAGCACTGTGAAAATGACATGTTAAACCCAGTGGTCCTGCTGCTTATGGGCTGGTGTTGGGCAGAGGGCCATGCAAAAGGCTTTGGGAGAGACATGGCTTAGGAGTACAATAACCAGGCTGAGAAATTTGTACTTCACCAGGCAGGAGCGGGAGCTGAGTGGCAGAAACAAAGTTGGCATGGCACACCCACTCTTAGATCTTGCTCAGTCCCTGGTGCGGAAGTTCATATGCTGATTACGGTGTGACATGTGTGTTCCCAGGTAGCTCTGCATGGCTGTTCTAGAACTCCCTGCCATGTGAGCTAGGAATTGTTGAACACACAGAAGGAGGCATTTGCACAGCAGAGGGGCAGTACTCACTGGTCACTGTGCTGGTAGGGCTCCATTGGGTACAGGGCAGGACTGTCAGCTCCCAGGCTGCGGAACACCTCTGTGATCTCCTGCAGTGATGGGCACCACAAGTGCATGTCTTCATCTGTAAAGCCAAAGCAGTAGAGAGTTGGAGTGGGAAGCAGAGGACAGGATGCATTGCTCCCATGGCAGGGGTTGGGCAGCACAAACCTCTGCCCAACGCCACACTATAGCACTTGCTGGCATCCACATGGGTGTTATCTGAAGAAACGAAACCAACCAGTCGTTTTTAGATACTTGCTGGAGCTTTGGGTACCTGGGGACTTTCTTCTATGTTCTCAAGGTTCAGCTGCACTGAAGCAGGAAGGCTCAGGGATAACCAAACCCTAATCTCCCCCACCAGGCAGAGATGAGGGGTGCTCAGCTACCCATGGTTAAGCAGGACAAAGCATTCAGAACCAAAAATTCCAAAACTGCACAACTCAGACACCACCCTCAGCACTGCTGGGCTGTCTGCCACGAACAATCTCCCTATCACGCCTGTTGCATCATCTAACTGCTCCTCAGACCTCTGTGCCTGCCAGGGGCACATTGTGCCTCCCTTTTGCAACCTGGGACTGTCCTCTCAGCACGTGTGAGCCACAGCCCAGCCATCCTTCTCCCTTGGCCAGCTAAAACAAGATGTGATTGATAAATGTGATGACATCAACCTGGAGGAAAAACAGCACCGACTCAGGGCCTTTTCTTCTGTCACATCACAGTAGGGCATTTTCACCATTACCAAAAGAGGAAAATAAAAAACAGTGTGGTTGGATGTATTTTCCAAAGGGTACTCAACAATTTCACCCATTACATTTGTTCTTCTGCTCTGGGATGTCCCATGCCCTCTTTACACAGGGGTTCATTCTATATCCTCTCACCATAGTATGTTAATTTTTTTGAAAAGATTTCTCTATTTTTATTTGAAAGGTAGAGTTACAGAGTGAGAAGGGGGGAGAAAAGGGGTACCTTCCATAGCTTTAGACTGATTGATTGATTGATTGATTGAAAAGTCAGATTTATAGAGAGGAGAGATAGAGAGGAAGATCTTCCATCCATTGGTTCACTCCCCAAATGGCCATAACGGCTGGAGCTGAGCTGATCTGGAGTCAGGAGCTTCTTCTGGGTCTCCCATGCAGATGCAAAGTCCCAAGGCTTTGGGCTGTCCTTGACTGCTTTCCCAGGCCACAACCAGGGAGCTGGAAGGGAAGTGGAACAGCTGGGACATTAACCAGCACCCATGTGGGATCTTGCTGCATGCAAGGCAAGGACTTTAGCCGCACCCATGTGGGATCTTGCTGCATGCAAGGCAAGGACTTTAGCCACCAGACTAATGCGCTGGACTCACTACTCCACTTTCAATCCAGTTCCCTGTAAATGTGCCTTGGAAAGTAGTGGAGGATGGCCCAAGTACTTGTACCCATTTGAGAAACCCAGAAGAAGCTCCTGGCTCCTAGCTTAGGACCTGACCAGCTCTATCCTTATGGCCATTTGAGGAGTGAACAGGCAGATGGAAGATCTCTATTTCTCCCTCTTTCTCTGTAACTCTTTCAAATAAACAAATACATCTCTAAAAATTATTTAAAATGCAGAGAGAGATACAGAGACAGAAAACATCTTCTGCTGGTTTACCCCATAAATGTCTGCAGCAGCTGGGGCTTGGCTAAGGCAAAGCCAGAAGCCTAGAAATCAATATGGGTCTCCCATTTGGGTAGCAGGGCCTAGGAATCACCTACTGCTCCCAAGGGTGTGTATTATCAGGCAGTTGCAATTGGAAGTGGTGCCTGGACTTGAACCTAGGCACTCCATTATGAGACATGGGTATTAACAAACAGTATCTTCATCTCTAAACCAAATGCCCAATGCAGCCATGTTACTTGATTTACTGATTTATTGCCTTCTAGTCTCTCTTCCCACTAGGATAAAAGTCTCTCAATGGCCGGGGCTATATCCATAGTGGTCACCTCTGTGTGCCCAGTGCCCAGAGCAGTGGTTGGCATGGAGGATGCTCAGTGAATGAATGAACAAACGAATATGTGAGTGAAAAGAATACAAAACAAAGGCTGACCAAGCAGTTCACAACTAACAGAGAAGCTGAAAAGCGTGCCACAGGATGAGCTGGCAGTGACAAGCATGCAAATGTGGTCAAACATTGGATTTAACAATGATGAGGGAAGTATCTGAATCAAGAATGTGGAGGCTGGGCTAGGGACACTTTATTACAAGCTTGAGCCTTTACCATTCTATAGGGTGTGTGTTGCAGACTAAGGACCCATGCTGAGGCACTCCACCTCAGGCAGGCACTGGCCAGGTATGAAAGACAAAAATGTGGAGGTCTTGACCTCAGGGGACACACAGTCCAAGCAGGGAGAGGAGTCAGAAGGAAATGAATAAACCCCAATGTGCTGTGCAAAAAGCAGAGAATACACAGATGCAGGAGGGGAGGCGGGATCAGTTGGAGGTAGGGAGCAGGGCAAGAACAGCAACAAGTGACAGCTAACGGGCAGGAGGTAGGTGTTTGCCTGACAGATGACAAAGGCAGGGTGCCACGAAGCAGTGTGGCCTGCCTGGAAACCAGAGGCAAGAATTAGGCAGACAAGGGAAGGCTGGGAGGGGGACTTCTGCCGGAGCCAAGAAATGGGCCTTCTTGAACTGCTGGAGCAGAAAGGGGTGGCCACTGTTGTGTGTGGCTACAGCACCCGTGGTGGCAGGCTGTCAAGCAGAGGGTCTCTGAAAAGCCATCCCAGGCCGTTTCTTCAGCAGGCATCGAGTATCTCTCTCTTCGGAAATGTATATGGGTCGGGACTCACTAAGCAAGTAATTAGACTCTTGGAGGAGGAAAAACCTTCTTGTTTGTTTTTCTTCCCTCTCGGGCAACTTAACAAGTAAGAGAGCAGTAATGATACCCCTTGCCTGCTTCACAAACGAGCTGGGAAGAACGGAGCGGGCAAAACACAGTAAGATTCCACTCACAGGGCAGAACATTTGCCAGGGCATTTGGGGCACAGAGCACGTATGTGCATGTACCCGTGGGTGAGCAAATGAACTTTCCAAGGAGGAGAAGAGAGCCAACCTAGGGCCAGGCCCCTTGAGATCCCACTGAAACACCCAAAGAGGGCCTTGTGTCCAGCTCCCCTGCCCTAGCCTACATGAATGCATCTTCTGCTGTTTAGACCCATCATGGGCTGTGCTGGCCCAGCCAACCTCAAACCTGGGACTTTCCCCGCCCCCATCTTCTACACAGTGATGATCCCACAGCACTGCGTGACCCAGGTAGTAGCTTCAAAGAAAGAGGCCTGGGAGGCCTTGGGATAAATCTATCCCATCACCGGCCCTGGAAGTGGGTTATGTGATGACAGGAAAACGCCACCCGAGATTTCATAATTCACGTGGCCCTAAGTAGGTCACATGCTCGGCCTTCCCTCTGTGCTGTATGTCCCACATGGGAGATTTCTGGAGAGCTGACCCAGAAGGAAATTTGGGCATGCAGACTCCCTCTGTCTAGTTCCATGTGGCCCAGAGCAGAACTGTCATTCTAGGTAACCTCCCAATGGGGAACACCAGGGTGCCTGGCCTTTTTTTCCCCCCCAAAAGAGTTTAAATTTACATATTTGAAAGGCAGAGTTGAGAGAGAGTCTTCCATTCACTGGTTCAATCCCTAGATGGCTACAAAGTCTTACAATGGCTGGGACTGAGCCAAGCTGCAGGCAGGAGCCAGGAATTCCTTCCAAGTCTCCCACATGGGTTCAGGAGCTCAGGTACTTGAACAATGCTTTCCCAGGCCATAAGCAGCTTTCCCAGGCCATAAGCAAGGAGCTGGATTGGACTGGAGCAGCCAGGACTCAAACCAGTACCCATATGGGATTTTGGCTTCATCACAGCGCTGGCCTTGGTGCTGGACGTTTTAAGATGGCAGTGTCAACAGCCCTGAGAAGTTGGGCTTAGTTAGAGGCAGGGACCAGAGGCCCCCTTTAGGCTGCTTTAAGAGGTGGTGGAAAAAAGGCCAAAAATGACAGGGACTTTTTCATGTGTGCCATGGAAGAAATGACTGCTCCATCATCATTCCTTTGGCATCATTTGCCTGGAATGGGAAAGCATGCACATGCACACAAGGGATTAAAAAAACTCAACAGAAAAGGAAATTAAAGATAAATATGGGACCAGCATTATGACATAGCAGGTTAAGCTGCTGCTTGTTGCCAGCATCCTGAGTTGGAATTTGGAGTTGGATTTGAGTTCTGGCTGCTTTCTTTCTGAGCCAGCTCCTTGCTAATGAGCTTGGAAAAACAACGGAAGATGGCCCAAGTACTTGGGTCTCAGCCACCAATATGGGAGATCCAGATGGAATGCCAGGCTCCGGGCTTTTCTCTGGCCTAGCCTTGACTGCTGCAGTCATTTTAAATTTGAGGCCAGTGTTGTGGCATAGCACGCTAAGTTGCCACTTGTAATACTTGCATCCCATGCTGGAGATCTAGCTGAGTTCTAGTTGTTCTGCTTCTGGTCCTGCTCCCTGCTAACAGAGCAGGAAGGCAGTGGAGGACGGTTCAAGGACTTAGGTTTGTGTCAAGGTGGAAAACCAGAATGAAGTTCCTGGCTTCTGGTTTTGGCCTGGCCCAGCCCTGGCTGTTGTGGCCATGTGAGAGGAGGTCTTTTTGTTTCTCCTTCTTCTTTGTTACTCTTCTTCCAAATATCTGTTTAAAAATAACAGAATAGGGCGCGGCACGATGGCGCAAGTGGTTAAGGTCCTCGCCTTGCATGCCCGGGATCCCATATGGGCACCGGTTCTAATCCCGGCAGCCCCGCTTCCCATCCAGCTCCCTGCCTGTGGCCCGGGAAAGCAGTCAAGGACGGCCCAAAGCTTTGGGACCCTGCACCCACATGGGAGACCTGGAAGAGGCTTCTGGCTTTGGATCAGCATAGCATTGAACATTGTGCTCACTTGGGGAGTGAATCATCGGACGGAAGATCTTCCTCTCTGTCTCTCCTCTCTGTATACCCGCCTTTCCAATAAAAATAAAATAAATCTTTTAAAAAAATAACAGAATAAAAGATAAGCCTATTTTGGTACCAAAACACACTGAAATC